CATGCAGAGACCACCTAGGAGGCAGAGCCTTTTGCAGCCCAGCAAGAGCCAGAGGCTGAGCTTGCAGAGACCACCGAGGAGGTAGAGCCTTTTGCAGCCCAGCAAGAGCCGGAGGCTGAGAATGCAGTGACCACCGAGGAGGCATAGCCTTCTAAGGCCCAACAGGAGGCTGAGGCTGAGCATTCAGAGACCACCGAGGAGGCAGACCCTTCTGCAGTGCAGCAGGAGGCTGAGGCTGTGCATGAACAGACCACATAGGAGGCAGAACATTCTGCAGACCAACAGGAGGCTGAGTCTGAACATGAACATTCTACTGAGGAGGCCGAACTTTCTGCTAACCAACAGGAGGCTGCTGAGGCTGAGCATGAACAGACCACCGAGGAGGCAGAACCTTCTTCGGCCCAGCAGGAGGCTGCGGCTGAGCATGAACCGACCACTGAGAAGGTATAACGTTGTGCAGCCCAGCAGGAGGCTGAGGCTGAGAATGAATAGACCACCGAGGAGGCAGAAACTTCTGTAGACCAACAGCAGGCTGAGGAAGAGCATGAACAGACTACCGAGGAGGCCGAACTTTCTACAGACCAAAAGGAGGCTGAGGCTGAGCTTGTACAGACCACCGAGGAGGGAGAACCTTCTGCAGCCCAGCAGGAGCCTGAAGCTGAGCATGAACAGACCACCAAGGAGGCAGAACCTTCTGCAGCCCAACAGGAAGCTGCGGCAGAGCATGCAGAGACCACCGAGGAGGTAGAGCATTTTGCAGCCCAGCAAGAGCCGGAGGCTGAAAATGCAGAGACCACCGAGGAGGCTTAGCCTTCTAAGGCCCAACAGGAGGCTGAGGCTGAGCATTCAGAGACCAGCGAGGAGGCAGACCCTTCTGCAGTGCAGCAGGAGGCTGAGGGTGCGCATGAACAGACCACGGAAGAGGCTGAACATTCTGCAGACCAACAGGAGGCTGAGTCTGAACATGAACAGACTACCGAGGAGGCCGAACTTTCTGCTTAAAAACAGGAGGCTGAGGCTGAGCATGAACAGACCACCGAAGTGGCAGAATCTTCTGCAGCCCGACGGGAAGCTGAGGCTGAGCAAAAACAGACCACCGAGGAGCCAGAACATTCTGCACACAAACAGGAGAATGAGGCTGAGCATGAACAGACCACCGAGGAGGCAGAACATTTCCCAGACTGAGAGGAGGCTGAGGCTGATTGTGCAGAGACCACCGAGGACGCAGAACCTTCTGCAGCCCGAGAGGAAGCTGAGCTTGAGAATGAACAGACCACCGAGGAGGCAGTACCTTCTGTAGCACAACACGAGGCTGAGGCTGAGCATGCAGAGACCACCGAGGAGGGAGAACCTTCTGCAGCCCAGCAGGACGCTGAGGCTGAGCATGCAGAGACCACCGAGGAGGCAGAACCTTGTGAAGCCCAGCAGGAGACTGAGGCTGAGCATGCAGAGACCACCGAGGAGGGAAAACTTTCTGCAGCCCAGCAGGAGGCTGGGGCTGAGCATGCAGAGACCACCGAGGAGGCAGAACCTTCTGCAAATGAAGAGGAGGCTGAGACTGAGCATGAACAGACGACCGAAGAGGCAGAACTTTCTTCAGCCCGACAGGAGGCTGAGGCTGAGCATGCAGAGACCACCGAGGAGGCAGACCCTTCTGCAGTGCAGCAGGAGGCTGAGGCTGCGCATGAACAGAACACGGAGGAGGCTAAACATTCTGCAGACCAACAGGAGGCTGAGTCTGGACATGAACAGACTACCGAGGAGGCCGAATTTTCTGCTAACCAACAGGAGGCTGAGTCTGGACATGAACAGACTACCGAGGAGGCCGAACTTTCTGCTATCCAACAGGAGGCTGAGGCTGAGCATGAACAGACGACCGAGGAGGCAGAACGTTCTGTAGCCCAACAGGAGGCTGAGGCTGAGCATTCAGAGACCACCGAGGAGGCAGACCATTCTGCAGTGCAGCAAGAGGCTGAGGCTGAGCATGAACCGACCACGGAGGAGGCAGACCCATCTGCGGCCCAACAGGAGTCTGAGGCTAAGCATGAATAGAACACCGAGGAGGGAGAACCTTCTGCAGCCCAGCAGGAGGCTGAGGCTGAGCATGCAGAGACCACCGAGGAGGC